GTTTTTAGCAATGGAACGGAAATGTGTTTCCTGTAGAAATGCAACATGTGTTCTATGTCTCCACAGATTTATTTATTATTGGAGTTACTGTTACACTGATTGTTTATATTGTTTCATATTTCTTAGCGCAGTGCATTTGTTTTTACACATTTATATATTATTAGCATGGTAGCTGACTATAGGGTCTATTAACTGAGTTTTTAAGTTTGATTACAAGCGCAGTGTATCACCATTTATCCAATCAACATATAAGGCCCCCGGCACTAAGGGACATCCCCCCACAGCACCCAGGCACCATCCGTCCAGCAGCAGTTGTCCACTCCCCCTCCAAGAGTCAACCTCAGAGCCGGGGGAGCAGTGGGCCCCTGTAACCCAGTGCATAGAGTTGACATAGAAAACCATCAATGGACTACTGGCAACACATTGGGAACCCCACTAGATGTATGGGTGGACCTGTAAAAGAAAGGGTTAAGGCAAGCCTCATCCAGAATAACATGCCCTGTTGGAGGTGGGTTCCGCTGACGGAGCTCTCCTGGATGGGAAGCGGGAGTGTCCGCGTCGTGACCGTTGTGGATGGGGGTCCAAGGAAGACACAGGAACCAGCAGCCAATCAGGCACCTCCACGGGATCTGTTCCCAAGAAGGCGAAGAGCTCAGGTGTTCAGGCGTCATCAGAACGAAAGTAGATCCAGCCTTCTAAATATGTAGGTGGGAAGGGTGACCCCATTTGTAGGATGCCCCCACTGAGGAAATCAGTTTGAGAAGCGGGTGAATCAGGCGCCGTAGGTAGAGAGTATGCCTGTATGCCTAGATAGATCAGGTAATTACCGCTCCATCGAAATTCCACCAACTTCTTGATCCACGTCTCGTGATATCCTCCTTTTGGACATACAAATGAATCCGACACAAGACATCTCTAGGGGTGTCTCGACCCACGCCTCGTTGGCCCTGAACTTTATGCACTCTATCCATCTCTATCAATGTCAGGGGGTCAGGATCAAGTAGTAGGTTCAGTATCGCCTGTACCATGGATCGGAGGTTCGCTCCAGTGGTGGACTCCGGTATACCTCTCAGGCGCACGTTGTGGCGGTTTCTATTGTCGCCATCATCCATCTTGAGGTAGAGCAGCGCATAGGCCCTGTTCTGGGCAGCAGCTGCTGATTCAAGAGCAGCTACCCGTTCCGCCAGCACATCATGGGAGGACTCTGACGCTGTCACCCTGCTCTCCAGGTGCGTCACCCTGTGGGTGACTGCTCCAATCTCCCTATGCAGTGTTCCCTCCACACTCTGCGCCAGATGATCAATGTCCTCTTTAGTGGCCAGCGACTGTAAGACTGCTCTGAGTTCATCCCCCAGCGCCGACGCCAGCACCAGCGATATCTGGGCGGATGGATTCGGTGAGAGTGAGCGGAATCCAGCCTAGGCGAGCGTAGTGGAGACTGCTCATCTTCTGATTGGACCGAGGCAGAAGAGTACTGCTCCATACCTGTCCTTGATGATCGGGATGCTCCCACCATGTGGGGCGCAAGATGGCCACCCGGCTCCATATGCTGAGGAGAGGCTTTCCCGGAGCCGCAAGCGAGAACTGCCCAGGGATGGCGCGCCGGGAGGAACTCTTGCTGGCTCTGTGTGATTTCCCCCCCTCGACATGGAGACCCGGAGACAGTTTACTGTAAGTAGTCAGCTGGAAGGATACAGCCGGGATCAGAGCTCAGAGCGCACACACCTTTACGGCTCCATTGCTTGGCCACACCCCCAAGCTAGTGTTATTTTAACAGGGTGATAACCTGTGCATTAATCTTTGTTAGTTGACCCTTCATATGGCATGATAAGATAACACAGTGATATAATAGCACTAGTAGTGGTAAAATACCAACACTTACAGAGCAAAATAAAGTGTGTTATGCATGTTAATGAATTGAGATCTGAGAATTGTGAGGTAAACAAGGCTTGGCATCAATTAAATAACACTAGAACAACAACAGCAAAAAATATATATGCGTTTACAAAAAAGATTGATTAAGTTATCAACCTTTACACGTTTCTTTTTACCTGCCTTTGTCAATGACTGTTTGTTGTGGGTATTCCATTATTATTTACAAGCGTTTTTTTTTTTTTAAGAGGTCTATTTATAAACAATTTGAATAGCCATTCACTCTGCAATTCTCTGTGAACAGTCATTCTGTGCAAATGGAGACAGAAACAAATGTTTATTTTCCTTTCTGGTTGAATGTAATATACAGAAAATACAGCATTATAAACACTAGAAAATAAGGGGGTTATTCACTATTGAGTCGAAGGATACAGCTGTAGCTTCGGCTCTCTTCGACTGCCGGAACCCTTCGGTTCAGTCGAACCGAAGGGCTGCTGTACGGGCTATTCACAATAGACCGTACAGCAGCCGGAGGCGGATGAACAGCTCACCTGAGCCGAACCCATATGCTTCTGCTCAACTGAGCCGAAGTGACAGCGGAAGCAGGGTGAACAGCCTGCCGAAGGCCAGCTGTTCCCCCCGCAAATGACAGCTGGGCGGAGCCAGCCGTGATCTTACGGCTGGCTCCGCCCAGTTGTAATAACAGATCAGCGTCCCCAAATGACCTGGGGAAGCTGATCTGTCATTAAACAATAACAAATGGGCGGTGCCGGTTGTGACGTCACAGCCGTCTCCTCCCAGCTGTTATTAATTGGCTGGAACATGCTGGAAGACTCTAGCAGGTGCCGACCAATAGGAAACCGTTGGGCGGAGCTAGCTGTCACTGCTAGTTCCGCCCAATTGTTTTTTTTCTTCTTTAACCACTTACTGACCAGCTGTTTACACCCCCTTCCTGGCCAGGCCATGTTTCAGTATTTAGCGCTGCAGTACTTTGACTGACATTTATTCCGTCATGCAACGCTGTACTGAAATTAATTTTATAACATTTTTTGGGGACAGATAGAGCTTTCTTTTAGTGGGATTTAATCACCACTGGGGTTTTTATTTTTTACTATATTAAGGAAAAATTACTGAACATTTTGAAAAAAATATGTTTTTTTCCCCATTATCTTAGGAAACAGTCATTATTACCCAATTTTTTGGTAAAATATAAAAGACGGGGTCACATTGGGTAAATAGACACAAACTTGTCAAGCTTTAATATTGTGCCCACCCGCGAAATCGCAAAACACTACCATACCCAAAATTGACCATAGGCGACTCTTTAAAAGCTTCTACCGCTCATCAGTTTAGTGTTATCAGTGATTAATGGCCCTAGAATTATTGCTCTCACTGCGACGTACGTGGCAATATGTAACATGTGCGGCGTAATGGGCGCAATTGTCGTTTTCGCACGTATGAAACCCGCCGCATGTTTGCATGCGTGTATGTATGGATGGGGACTTTAAAACACTTTTATTGTTTTTTAATTCTTTTTCATGTGTAACTTTAAAAACATTTTTGCAACTTTAATTTTTTTCCCTATTTTTTTTTCCACTTCACTTTATTGCTATCACATAGGGGGATAAGAAAACCCCCTATGTGATAGCAAAGATGATGTGACAGGTCCTCTTTATGGAGACATCAGGGGTCCCCAAGACCTCTAATGTCATCTAGGACCCTCCAAAGAAGATGATGAAGCAGAGGTCTGCTTCATCAGCTTCTCTCCAGCGTCTGAAGTTGGAGAGTGACACAAGCACGCGGAAGTGATGTAATATACATCACTTCCGCATTCTGACACCGGAGAAGGGACCGGAGGGAGATCGTGTCCCGGAGGGAGATCCCCTGTCACAGAGCCACTATGCTAATCCCGGGCTCGCACCAAGCACAGCGGAGCCCGGGACCAGCGTGACAGCGGGAGGGGAGGCCGCGGAGGGGGACACGGACCGGCAGCTTATACAAGTGATCCGCCGGCCCTAAAGCCGGCGGATCGATTGTACGTTAACAGCCATTGCTGCCTGTTTTTAAATTTAGGCAGTTTCCCACTCGCGAGCGGTGCGCGCAAGTGGGCGTGCCTGAGCGGACGTTTAAAAACGCCCGCTCAGATCCAGGTAGCTCCCAGCCAGCTGTTTTATTACAACGGCCGGGTCAGGGTTGTGGGGAAGAGACCCCCATCGGCACGGGGACACCCTCCCAATGCCGAGCGCACGTGACCTGGTAAGGCGCATACAAAACACGTCTAGCAGCCAATGTACGGCTGAGCCAGAGTGAATATTCGAACGTCGTTCGACTCACTTCGCTTCGGCTGGGTTATTCACTCAGCTGCCTTGGCAGCTTTGTGAATAACCCCCTAAGTATTTATTTCTTGCTACTCAGCTCTGTCTAGTTTTCTTTTCTGGATAATGCGATTTTCTGCTACTCAGCTCTGCCAAGTTTTCTTTTCTGGATGCAAATACTTATTTCCTATGTTCCTCAGTTACATCCAGTGGCCATAATGCAATATTTAGTGAGTATTACATTGAACCTGAAAAGAAAATATACTAAGAACATTCATTTTTTACTCCATTTGCACAGAACAAACCCTCACAAAGATTGGTAGGGTGAATGTCTCTGCAAACTGTTTATAAACACCCCTAAGTGTATAAATGGACTAAGGTGTATTGTTTTTTTTTTTGTTTACTCAAGCTTTTTGTTATTGCATTTTTTTTTGACAAATGCTGTTCAGCAGCTTTTTTTAGGAGTACTTCCTTTTTTTATTTTTTCTCTATAAAATTGTTTGCACTTCTTGCTGATACGTCATAGTGGTGTGATCCCCATATGTAACATAACACAAGAACAAAAGAAAAACAGGTTTATTAATTAAGCCTATTGTCTGAGAAAAGTTGGAAGTGGTTATCCCTATATTTGGTCTAGGTCAGTGACAGAGAAAGCAATGAAGAATATGACAGTAAGGGAACTAGCATTTTAGAAAGGAGGCCAGCAATGGCATTCTACACATTTGTCTTATGATGGTTTATTTTAAACATTTTATTACAACATTTGTACCTGGGGACTGCTGACTGCTATATTGTTTTTTTTTCGTTTTTCAGATATCCAAAGCTGCTGCAGATTTGATGGCCTATTGCGACGCCCATGTTAGGGAAGATCCACTTATACTTCCAGTGCCTGCCTCAGAAAACCCATTTAGGGAGAAGAAATTCTTTTGTACTATTCTTTAATGTGGTTTTGTGACACACACATTGTGCATAATATTAGTATAATGTGACTTTAAGTTAACCTATAGATTACAGACAAACATAATATAAAAAAATAGCTCATGTATTATATAACATATTTTACTTTTAGTAGTGCCCATTTATTGGAGTGGCAGGGATAAAGAGCACTACCGACAATATACAATGCAGTTACTCTAGTGTAGCACCCTAATAACATAATTGTAGTTACAAAATGGCATATCTGTATTGAAGCAAATCAGGGAAAATGTTGATCAACTGAGAGGGCTATAAAACAAAGCAAGTTTAAGAGAAATCACAAGGGCATACTGTATGTATGTGTATGTTTGTGTATATATATATATATATGTATATATATGTATA